AAAAGGCCCACTGTTGTGCAGGGTTTATGGTATGGTTACGGTTTAGGGGGCTTGGCAGGGGATTTCGGTCCAGGTTTCAGGCAACTCCGCTGCTTCGTTGTCTCTGGACGGTTGCATCGTGCAAGGCGGCAGTCTAGACAGCCTAACCCTACCTCATGAGCCCCAAATCCCCTGGTCAATGTCTTTCACTGCTCGTTTTCTTCTTCTTTGTTTCTTGCTTTTCTCTGGTCTTTCCCTGGGGCTTTTGGATCAGCTCCCGACTTCGCACTTGGGATGTTGCTGCAGGGGGTTGACTTAGGGGTACTCAGAAATAATTTTTAATTTGGGGTTATTATAATCCCTAAGAAACAGCTAAAAGTATAATTGTTGCTAGGGTTCTAAGTTCAGTATAGTTGAGGTGATGGGAGTCTTTTGGGGACCCCCATGCCCAGCACCTTGCGGTGTCTACTGTGGCAGGAATGAAGTAGATAAGGTCCTTACCACCTACCTAATCCTTAAGTTCGTTTACCACTTACCTAATCCTTAAGCCTTAAGTTCGTATGTTCCGAATGAGTCGCTCCACAGCTCGCAGTACCCGAGAATTGAAAGGGTAGGACAGGAATAACAAGCCGCTTAAAGAAGTCTCCTTCTTTGGCCGCTGCCGCTGGTGTAATCATCCCGGAATCCAAAACCCAAAATCTCCAACCCTCTGCCAGACGTCCAGGCACTGAGCACTACAGCTGCCAGCTCAGTCTTCATCAGGATTAGACTGTGTCTTTCGGGCCTATAGATGTATGCCGATGAGATCCCATGCTTGTCACACAGTCTGTGCAGGGTTATGCGTTTGTTGCAGAGCTAAACTTGAGGAAAGCAGTCTCGGAGTCTTGTTCCCGTGGGTCTTCCCAGAGGCATCGAGTGAGTAGATATTGCTAACTTCCATGAGGTCTTACATCTAATTGCCCCTCTCGGCATATAGGCTCAGGGGCACCGCCTTCGGGGTTTGGGAGAAGTACAGGTCGAAGCAGCGATCTCCTAGGTGCTTCTCTGCTTCCTTTGGCAGCCCTCTTCGAGCGAATGGCTTCGAATTACTAATAGTAATACTATTATTAATATTAATACTAATAGTAATTAAGGTTTAGGGTTTAGGGTTTAGGGTTTCCTGATGCGCCCAGGTGACGAACTCCACAGTCATGGGTTTGGTGTGCTTTGCGGGCGCCTGAGGGAGTTCCGCGTGTGCCCACCCGTCACCACCGGAAAGCAAACAGGGAGCCTTTCGTTTGCCTCTCGGTGCCTCTCTGACTCTGAGAGATACTTACCCTATCAGAGAGAGAAACGCGTAGAGTGAAAGCACTCGAGAGAAAGGAGCAAACCACAAGAAAGGAATCAGAGGGAAAGGCGTCATAGCATTTCCAAGAAGACAAGAAAACCGCTCGAAAGGTAACAAGGGTATTTCTGAGCACGTCAGCAATCCACACGCAAGGGACGAGAGAAGTTGACAAAAAGGAGCAAACCGGCAGAAAGGCATCAGGGCGTTTGAGACAGAAGGGCACCTTGCTCCAAAAGGACTTCGGGCAATTGCTCGAAAGCAAATAGGGAATCAGGGCATTCGAGAAAAAGGAGCAGACCGATCGAAAGTGATTAGAGCATAACATAAAAAGGAGGCAAGCCAATTCATGTACGACAAATTAGCAAACCGCTTGAATCAGGAGAAGATCATGTCAGAAAGCCTGCCAAACTGCTCGAAAAGGACTAGAGCGTTCGAGAAAGAGGAGCAAACCGCTCGAAGGCACCCGAGCTGTTGGGGAGAAAGAAGCAAACTGCACCAATGGGAATAGGGCATCTGAAGAAAAGCACCTGGCCGCTCGAAAAGGACTGGAGCGCTAAACACATGGCGCAGTTTCGAAAAGGACTGGAGCATTCGAGAAAAAGGAGCGAACCGCTCGAAAGGTACTAGAGCAAAACAGAGCCATCCGCGGCAGAGGTCCAGAGTTTTTGAGAATAAGCGGAAACTGCTAGAAAATTGCAAGGTTTGAGAAACAGGAACAGAAGCTGCAAAAACAAAAGGATGAGAGGGAGCAAACCGCTCGAAACGGACTGAATCGGACTAAAGCATCTGACAAAATGCAATGTAAACGCTCGCAAGGGACGATATCAGTTTGAGAAACCGGAGCTAGCAGTTCGAAACGGACTAGAACCTGTTGCAAACAAGAGCAGACGAGCAATGGAAGTAAACTGCTCTAAAGTTATGCTTGGGAAAAATGTGCAAGCTGCTCGAAAGGCACGAGAACAAAAGACGAACACGTTAGAGGAGCAGGCCGCTCGAAGGGGACTTGTGCGTAGGAGAAAGAAGCGATATGCCCGAGAGGGACCGATACGAAAAAAGGAACAGAATGCTCGAAAGGAGCTAGAACTGTTGAGGAGCAAACTTCTGGAAGCACTTGAGAAAAGGAGCAAGGCGATCGAAAGAGAATCGAGCATGTGAGAAAAAGCAGCGAACCGTTCGAAAGAGGCTACAGCATTTCAAAAACAGGAGGAGGGCGCCCAACATGGACTTTGGCGGAGCAAATAGCTTGAAAGCGACCAGAACCTATGAGATAAAGGAGCAACCGTTACTGGTAGAAAAGGACTAGAACCTTTAAGACAAAGAAGCAAGTCGCACGAATTCGAGAAGCCTTTCGAAAGGCACCAGCGGTTTGACAAGTTGTACCAATTGAGAAACTGGGGGCAAAGCGCTCGAAAAAGGGACTGGAGCATGTGCGAAGAGCAGGCCGCCCACACGAGGTAAGAGCCTTCCAAGTAAAATGAAAAAAGTAGAATATTTCTGAAAAAGCACGAGCATTTGAGAACAGGAAGCATACCACTCCAAATGGAACTGCACGACCCGGACGAGAGCATTGGAGGCAAACGAGCAACCGGTTCGAAAGAGTGTTTAGGGTTGCTGAAGGAGCAAGCCGCTCGAGAAGGATTTGCGGAGCATCTGCGCAAAAAGGAGCACACAGGTCAAAAGGATTTAGAACGTGAGAGAAAAGGAGCAAGCCGCTCTAGAGTACCGAATTCGAGCTTTTGAGATATAGGAGCAACTGAAAAGGACGGCAAGCCGCTGGAAAGGGACTGTAGCGCCCGAAGCAACCCCGCTCGACAGGGACAAGTGAGAACAAGGGAACCGACTGCTCGAAAACTATGAAAAGAGAGCAAGCTGCTTGAAAAGAATCAGAAGGTTGAGCATGTGAGAACAAGCCCTTCGAAAGGGACCAGAGCATACTACCCCGCCAAAAGGCAGGTCCGGAGCAGAGCAACATCTGGAGCAGCTGAAGTTTGTTCCACGCCAGGTGTGGTTACAGAGTTTTTGGGGTTGAAGGTCTCGCGCTTGGGCCGTGGGCCTCAACAACTCCGGTTTGCAAATATTTAAGTTCTAATTGACTCACCATGCGATTTTGAATTGTTTCGCAACAGTCCAAAATCTTGCATCATGACAAGAAAGCAATCCAACGAAACCATGTGGGATGTTGCTGGGTACTCAGCACAGCATATACGGGCGACGCTGCAGTAAGGCTCGAAAGCATACATATGTTGCATAAGCCCTCAATTCCCTGCAATGACCCCTCTAAGCCTTCCCGTCATGAGCGGTCCTGCTGAGGTGGTCGGTGTGGTGGTGGCCAGCTGCATCACAGCCTACTTTGATGGGCTGGAGGGTCTGAGGCTCTTACTGCTGTAGGGAGCTAGGAGATTTGCCTGGTTCGCTCTCAGGGTCGAGGGGAAGGGCTTCACAAGTTCAGGGCCCAGGGCTGCAGGGATTTTGTCAGGTCGTGTTGGCCGTGGAGAATCGTATGCCCCTTCAGTTAAGGATGTTGGCCAGGTGGGGGTGCTGGCCGGTGTTGGGCTCCGTTTCGGAGATGTTGTGTTTCCGGTTTAGGAAGACAAGGGCGCAGGATTGTGGCGATGCAGCGCATCAGTTTCTACCACAATTGAATCAGTTGGTGCGGCTCAGCCCCATACCATGAGGAAGGCAACTTCTCTTCGAAAGTGAGCAGTTAGAACGGATGATGGGGAATCGGGGTAGTTTCGTTGAGGGAATATGGACTTTGCAGGCTTAAGGGATTTTTGTAGCTTCCTCACGCTAATTTGTGCTATTGCGTGTCATTGCAGTGCATGCGCTTGTAAACATCCTGTCTACTATAAAATGGTTTGTACTGAACCACCAAAATCCAGCGCATTATGGCCCCTGACACTGAAACAGCCCTACGTCGTCAAACACGTTTGTGCAGATGCGCATGGCAACCGGAGAAGATCCTGCAGTACACCTGGATCCCAGTGTGCCTGGGGATTTGTGGCCTCTGAGCTTCAGGCTTCGGTTAGAACCACAGTTTCCGCGCAAGCAGGCATTCTGGTTTGAGTCTGTTGGGGGAGATATCCAGGGAATCCAGACTCAGGCTCTCGACCTGTGTAGAGATATGCTTCATGCCCGGTGTTGGAACTTGGTAAAGTCAAGTCCGAGTCAGAGTGTAGAGGTCGTTGCAGGCATGTCTCCTGTTGAGACAGCGACAGACTGACTCTTGTTCGAGAAGAAGCCTCTCGTTCTGGCAGCTCCCTAAACCTAAATATTGGCTACGAACTCCTGGGCTGCTTTGAAATGACAGAGCCTTAAAGACTTGAGATCCTAATGGAATCGTAGTGAATGCGGGTGCTAACACAGCATATTCGAGCGCGAAGATCTGCGTGTTGCTTTTGGCTGGCTCTCAGCGGCGGCAACCATGCGCCGCAGCAATCAGACGTAGTTTGCAAGCTTCTTTCAGATGACTCGCCTCATGTCCATGCAGCTAGCTCCAGCGCTGTTCATCGTAGTTGCACATCTCCTCGTACGCGGAACGCTGACGAGAGTGCCCTGCTACAGTTCCATAGAGTCAGTCAGTACTGAGATGTACTGAGAGTGTTTGTGGCGGGGGATGGAATTTTTCGGTGGTTTGGGAGTAGGGGGGCTTACGTTTCACGGCACAGAATGACCTAGAGCCTGGCTCGATGCTATGCGTCTATTGACTGCCGGGCTTCTGCCCTCGGCGGCGCTTGCAGCAAGGGTGCCTGAGCTGCTGTCAAGATTTCAGAAGCATCTAACCAAGAACGATATTGTTGATTTCAACCTACATATATATACATATATGTATATATCAGGAGCGCAGATCCCAGATTGATCTTGGGCAATGGGTCATGGAGAATTGAGACTATCCTCGAAACGAGGGATCCGGGCATCACTTCCGATTTTTGGAGAGCTTAAGAGTGGGGGCTCCATGGGTTTCGCTCCAGAATACCGGTGCCAGGTGAAGGTTAAAGCAGGGTAGGATTTCGGGGTCCGGATGAAGGATGGGAGGAGATTTAAGTTTTGAAAAGCGCCCAAACCATCTGTCCTTATCATGGTCCTGAATCCATGATCCTTAACATCCTAAACCTTTAACATGCTTATTATATATACTGCTTAAACACAGAACGACTGCGAAGAGCCTACAAACGCCCGGGCCGGAGACCATGTGACTGACGAAGAGAGCGGGAGCAACAAATGCCCCTGATACATGATATGCGGATGATGCTGCTCTCAGTCCGGCCTCTTTGTGCGATGTGTTGCTGGTCTTCGGGGGGCGTCCGCGACTGCAATGTGATTTCGGTGAGCAAGGCCATGTCCCAAGTGCTACAAGTAGGGCTAAATGGGGCGCCTGATATCGCCTACGGAAAATCTGAGCTTCGCAACAGATGTCTTAAAGACACGGGAGTTCGTAGAGGTCTCTGTTGCCTGCGGCGAGGTTCTTCTTTCCGCCGGGGATGAGGGGATCGGTGCCAGGCCGGAAGCTTTTCTTCGAGGGCTGTCCGGCTCCAGTAAGTGCCAAGTTTCGGTTGTGCCGGGAAGGACATAGAAGGACTCGATCCTGTTCTTGGCCCCACCCCTTCACGAAGCGTTTCGAATGCACACTTGGGCCCACGACCGATGCATTCCAAACCACCTGAATTCAAGCTTCAGCCAGAAAAGTCCACTGGTCACTGTGAAATTTGGGGCTTGGCTTTTTCAGCTCTAAGAACTTTTCTTTCGCTGCTTCAACCTGGAGCTCACAACTTCAGCTTTCTGAAATCCGCGCACTCCGATCTGCACTCCGTTCGGTTATTTGGGGTGTGGCTTTCAGGGTTTGGGCTTGTGTATCAGTGTATACCGGCGAAGCAGAAGAAAATTCGTTTCAAAAGTCGGTGGCTTGTTGCCATGTTCCCCTTGGGCCGCAGGGCCTCATAAGCACTAGTGTCAAGGCATCACAGCCACAATCCCATTCAACCGTTCAACCCCTCTTCTCGACCCTGACAAAGCCGATTCACTGAGGCAACGAGGAGGCCCAGAATTTCCGCAGTCGGGAACCTTAAACCCTTGAAACCCTAAGGGCCCCGAAACCCCTGGACCCTATGTCTCCGAAGTTTAAGGCCCAAGAATCCCTAAACCATGCACCCCAAACCCCTAAACCGCCCAAACCGTATAAGAGAGACTTGGACTGGCAAGGCGGCACGCCTTCAGTGCCAGCGTAGACGGGGCAGGGGCGGCGGCTGAAGGCAGTCACGTGATTTGCAGAGCAAAAGGGTTGGGGTAGGTTTAGGGTTTAGGGTTTACGGCTAGTAGGGAGTGTAGTGGTTTTGGTTTTTGGCTCGCAGTTGGGGGTTGGGGCTTATGCTTCAGGACAACGATAATGGTCAGAACCTTACCAACAGCCACAACCATGTCAGCAACCATCAACACTTGAAGCCGTGATCACTATCCATCAGGATGATGACCAAGGCAACGGTGAAGACTTCATTGCGGGAATAACTACAACTGTGTGTGTTTCATGGGTTTGCTTGTAGAATCACTGTTGGGGCAAGCGGTTTTCGCAACGGTGTACGCGCTGTGGAGCCACACGCAACTTCCAAGACGAGATCCAACCAGAAGCAAAGCATGGCTTTTGAGGATAGCTTCAACTATTTTCGAGTGTTTGGGGAATGGCGTGCAGAGAACAGATGTGGTAAGACGTAGCATAGGGATCTTCAAAACCTCAGTAATACTTGTTGAGGCTCCAATACAGTTAGATCCAAAGCCGCATCGCCAATGCTAAACCCTGCGAAAAGCCGAAGTTTCGCGCAAAGCTCCTCAAGTGCAAACCCTAAACCGTAGATCGTAAAGCGGAGAAATGAGCCCTTATCATGAAACCTCATAAACCTTAAAACCCAAAAGATCAGCACCTTCATCTCTGAGTCAGAAGTCTCAAGCTATCGAATCCAAAAACCTGAGCCACACAGACCCCAACACCTCAAAGCCACCAGATCCAGCAGAGCTGCCCCCTGAGTGGCGACAGCGACTCCAGGTGCGTGCGTTTTTTCGATGATCACTGCAGCTGAGTAGGAAGGCTGTGACGCTCTTGGGCTTACATAACCCTGCCACAAGGAAGCGGTTGTTAGACCTGGTCTTTCATCATATACCTGCCGTGACAAAAGATGACCTTTCACCATTGTTGGGATATATGTCCTGCCATACTTGAGCTGTTCTGTGCCCATAGGTTGTCGGCTCAGGAATTCATAGCCCTCAGACTCCGCAACCTCGACCCAAACTCTGAGCCACCAAACCCACCTTCAGCTCTAAGCCGACAAGTCTGCGGCCAGCGAGGTTGCACTCAAGAGCATCGCTTGGGGAGCACATGCGCTAGAACTGTTCGAGCACGTCAGAGCACGTCGAGACTGAATGTCAGGCTCAAACAGCTTCACTGATTCACATATGAAAACGTAGCTGGCAGTATGCAAAGAGGGGAGGTGGAGAGAAAGAGAGGGAAACCGCGTTCTCAATGCCTTGGAGCAATTCAGCAAGCAAGCAAGCAAGAGCGAAAAAACAGCTTTTCCAAAAAACAGAGAGCAAAACTTCTTCATCATCTTCGCTTCACCTGAGAACTGCCAGCTTCAAACCTCGTGAGGTCTCCGACCGCCTAGCACATGGAGGATATGGGACGGCCTCGAACTCAGCGTCGGGATGCGTAGCTGGGAAGCTGTTTAGGGTTTGGTTTTTTTTGGAAGATTTGCTCCTTATCTTCTCCAATCAACCGATACGATTCATCGCTTGGCTGTTTCTGCTAGGAGGACGTCAGCATTCCGCATCTGGAGAACACCCAACAACTAGCATGAAACGATCGCAAGGTGTACAAGGTCAAGATCACATGCGGCGAGAGCCACGGCGCTGACTTGGCCCTGAAGGTGGCTTTGATGGTATTCTTCGCATAAGAAGCTTAGCGAGTGAGTTGTGGTCTTGGACCGTCGAGTGCGGCTCAGGAGCCAGATTAAGCTTGCGGCGAACAAAGCAATGGCATGCTTGATCCCCCGGTTAAGATGCTCGTGTGGTTGCGGGCATTTTGATTCGCCTATCTTTCTGAAAGACTAGCTAGCTGGCATGAAATGAAACAGCAGCTGCAATACAGGATGTGTTCCTTGTATGTCTTTGTGCAATGTTGTAGCACGAAGGTCGCCCGTCCCTCTGCTTCCGCCGAGAAGGAGGCGAGCAGCTCAGGCTTTCGATCGCTTTAGATATGTAAACACAAATATGCATATATGTGTATATATATATATGTGTGTATATATATATATATATATATGTATGTTATATAGATATATATATATATATATATAAGTATACCCCCCCCTCCCCCAAAATTCTCAACCGAACTCATGGCAACGCTTTCGTTTCAGGCTGCTGTCCTTCGGGAGATGCACGGCGTCAGCGACTACTGTACCGCGGCGACTAAGGGGGCACGGGTCCGGACGCATGTGCTCACCCTTGTATCAACCCTTGTGTTAACCCCTATCGTCACCCTTAGACTTTATAGTCACCCATATAGCAGCCAGTTCGTGCAAGAGGTTGTCCTCTCAGTCACGCAAAGCTTCAGGGCTGGAGAACAAGCCTTTCAGAGAAGGAATGATCACCCAAACGCCAACCAGAAAGTTTTTGAGCCGCGCTTGACTGAAGACGTCGCGACAGGTAGCAAGGCACATTTCGGTCGGGGGAGCCTTTCAGTTGTTGGTTCTCCTTGCGGGTAAGAAGGCTTGAGGGGTTCTGACGCAGCTCTAGATTCGCAAGACTTCCTGAGTATAGGTCGTATGGGGCACGGGACTAGTGATCTGGTATGGCTTCGTATGTTTCGAGTAAGGCATACCCCAATATCTTATTCGCTCACCCACACAACTGATACCTAAAAGTCGTATTCCGAACTATACCTACAAAACTCTGTCATTCTTCTAACCGGGCGCTCCCGGCCCACGCCGAAGTCTTACACACCGATCCGGACTGCCAGGCTCCAGCACTGTGGGAAATCCGGACTTCATCGACTACCGAGGCTTGGGGCCGAAGGTCGAAAGGTTCGGGTCTTGGGCTTATAGGGAAGTCCAGAAAGTTGGAATATGGTTGCAGGGTAGGATACCTTATAATTTACCATAAAGGGATATAAAGGGTTTAGGATATTCATATTCCAACTTTCTGGCTTTTACTGTAGTGTTTTAGTACTTGCAGTTGCAGCCCAGACCAATCTAACTGGTTAGTGGGACTTGGTATGTTACTGTATGGACCCGGCATAGAGGGAGTAGCTTACCTGCAACCGTTTTGGTTCCGGTGCTACCATTCATCTTGCTGCCTCCGGATGTCAGCATTCGAAGCGCACCAACAAGAAAGGAGTCGATTGAGGGCTGAAGCCATTCACCGCTTGAGCGCTGCACGTTGTCCCGAGATTTGTTCAGACGTATTTAGATTACGCTCCAGGGATCCTTCGGCTTGTTTTGCCTTCAGCATGCCTTGGTCAGACACGCAGCATGTGGGTTGAGGTGCAGGGGTGGTTGGTTGAGGTTAGGCGGGCTGACAGGCTCTCACTACATCCTCATGCCCTACATGATCCTGGGCAGCAGCGCTGGATGGTTTTGAACTTGCACGCCTTCCAGAGCATTTCTTAATACACAGCCCACCCTACAGAGGACACCCGTTTACAACAGCCCCGGGCTACGACACAAAGGCACAGGCCTATCCCTATACCAAAGGCCGGGAAGCCTAGACCGAAAACCCTGAAGCACAAACAAAGGAAGCTCAAAACGTCTGAGTCCCTGGTGGAGGGTTGAAACATGGGCCCTCAGACCTCAAGCTTTGATTCAGGCGCCTGGGCACAAACGTACTGCTATGATTCTTTCTTGAAGGGGCTTCTTGGATTAAGACCGTGAGCCTATGAAGCGAGAGTGCGTACGGTTCGGGAGAATACACTCCCATGGAAATGCAGGGTATGTTTTATGAATACCGCATCGAAGTCGTGAGGCTCCCCTTTGTGCATCCTTTGGCTTTCGTTTTGGGCGGGGCCGGCCTCGCCCTTCAGCTCTTTGGGGGTCTCGAGGCCTCAAACTCATCGCTTACCTTTGGTTAGTCGGGAATGGAAGAATAAGAATAATATTATTTATACTTGTACCCCATTCCTCCATTCCCTACAAACCCAAGGTAAGATCGAGGATCATCTGTTCGTAGCGCCTGCTGCCCTCAGATTTTCCTCCCCTCAGACTCCAAGTTTGGGGTTCACAGGGGCTTGGCATCAACGTTGCTAAACCTGATTTTGAGAACCCATTGCCCGGAGCCGATGTAGGGTTAGGAGTTGTTGGGCTTCAGCCCACGGCACGAAACCCGTTCTGCGGAGGTGGAAATTTGGGGGGCCGGGGTGGGGTTACAGGTTTAAGGAACTTATGGAATTTTCATCAGGAATCGCGGCGACTTGCACGATTTGCTCACGCGCTGCTTCCAGTCATCGTCCTGCCGGTGTCACGGAAGGAAGCCGTTGCTTGGTTATTGAAGTGTTGATAATGTCAGCCTCAGGTGGAAATTTGGGAGAGCTCTGAATGCATTGCGGAACGTAGCTAACATGCGCAGACAATCGTGCTTGCCTGGTCTTGCAACATTGATAAACAAAGGAGTCTTCGTCAGGAGGATCCTTCTGACTTTCTGATATTTTCTCTTTGCTGGGAATCTGGGATTCTTTTGCTGACAATGCCAGCGGATTGATTTACTTGCTTAGCATAGCGAGGAGGAGGGGACGACACACGAGCCGAAAACCACCCAATTCCTTTCCCAGGAAGGGTGGAGTTCGGGAGCAACCTCTTTGCTGGGAGGCGATGGTGGTTCAAGTTTCGGAGATTCTCTGGTCCGGGATGCCGAAAGCGACCGCAGACATAGCTGCAACACTTGCAGTGCGATCGCAGACAAGCAGTGGATGAGGGGCAATACCATCGGTGAAGCGCCGTATTGTCGATCAAAGGCCATGTTCCACAGAATATGACTACCCAGTTTGGGGGTTAATATGTAGAATCCTGCAAGGTAATCCCAAAAAGGAGGTACTATGGGGCCTATGGGTAGTTGCCAAACCTTTGCGATCTTGCTAGTCGAAAGCACGCACGTTGGTAGATCACAAGACATAGATTTAGATTAGAAGGAAAGACAAGGCTCAGGAGCCAAGCAGCTGACAAGCTCTAGACCTTGAAAACGCACTTCCCTGCCTTAGAGAGCCCTGTGCCCCCCTTACTGGGGCTGTCTGAACAGTCAGTGCACTATCGCCCTGTCCCCTTACGTAACATGCGACAAGCCTCTGCCAAATTGTTAAGGGTCCTAGATCACAGAACCCTCATGCAGTGGATCCCTTATGGATCCCGAAAAAAGAATCGCGAACTACTACGGCCCTTAAAGGAGGCCTCTAACATCTGGGCCGGACTGGTCAGAAATAGCGGCAAGAATCTGTCGCAGCCAGAAGCCTAGGCCATAAACTGGAAACCGAAAAGCCATTGCTGCATCTGCAGTGAGCAGAGATCTTGGCAAGCACACTCGAAACGGTAAGATGTGGGCGATGGGACGATAGTGAAACTCTAAACCCTAAACCAAACCTCTGGCATTGCTTTGCCCCAAACTGCAGGCCTTGGGACCTGGATGGAGCGAAGATTTTGTATTGACTTTGATGCTCCAAGCCATGAAAGGCCACAGGGATTCGGGAGTAGGGGAAATTAAGATGTATATGTTAATATATTATTATACATATATATATATATATATATATATTATATTTATATTCATATATTAGTATATATATATATATATATATATACATATATATATATATATATATATACATATATATATATAGATATATATATATATATATATATATAGATATATATATATATATATATATATTAATATATAGAAAATACACACATACTATCTGTTTTGAGTACAGGAGCTTTGGGAGTGGGTGGAGGGTTCCTCGATTTGGGACTCTCAGGTACATGGTTGAGGGTTTTTGCTGAGGCTTTGGGCCTAATTGGCAACGGGGCTCCCTGGGGTCTGCAGAGGACATCCGGCAATCGGTTGAGAGGAGAAGCAGTTGAAGGCTTCAGGGTTGTGTTTTCCTGGCTTGCTGCGATGCTTGTTGGGTGTTTCCGTTAATTAGTCTGAGCGTGGCAGGAAGTTGTGCCACGGAATCGCTTTATGGAAGTTTTGTGACACACGGGTTGCTGTGTCGCGGTGTTTGGAGTGAACTCTGTCCGACAGCACGTATCTGCTCTTCTAGGAGAGTCTGTACTCGGAGCCACCCAATTTAAGTTTGTTGATTCTAGCTTTCCACCGACAACTGATGTTGAAGGCAGGTTGTTTCTTTGAAAGGCCTTTCCGCGTGGTGTCGGATCCGGAAAGAAGGCGGCAAGCCTATAGGAGAAGTGTCAAAGGAGCTTGAATAATTGTCGTTCCACCGCAATCTTTAAATTTGTGTTCTTACTCACCTCTTTTTTTCAAAACTGCAGTCGAGTTTCTCAGATCCCCCGCAACCCCCGTAAACTTTTCACCCTGGACCCATAGCCCTCAAGACAGACCCTAAAGCATCAAGCCCTGAGCCAAGATAAAGAGATGGGCCTGTGCTGTGCTGAGAGGTGTAAGAGCTCTCCACCGTCATCACTGGGTGCACATGGACTTGCGGCCTGGCAAGGAAGGCGTAGGGCTCCAGGGGCTTTGGGGCGCCAGCATTGTTTCGGGCCATGCTGCGCCCTTCTAGGGTGTGGAGTCGAGGGCTTAGGGTTCAGGGCTTCGTCCTTTAAGGTCAGAGTGCGACATCGTGACATCTACGGGTTAGGGTGTCGAGATTCGGTACAAGCCAAACCCTGAACCCTACCTCCCGAACTGGCTTCAGTGTCCGACTCGCTGTTTGCCACGGCTTCTAGGGCTCATACGGTTCGAAGGCAACGGCAAAATCTGCGCAGCCCTGTGCAGAAACTCTTGAAGAGGAAGGTCTACATAATTTCTGGAATGAGACCTTCCGGAAGGCGTATAGGGGCCTTCTTATAACTGCAGCATAGTACCCCAGAACCCTATTCGAATTATTGAGGCCCTTTTTTGAGCTTAGAACAACGCCTTAAGCGCACCGAGGAAGCCAGAGAATGTGATGCTTCACTGCGAAGGATTGCACCGAGCGTTCGGGATTCTTGGAGTGCTGCAGAAACCCACAATGTCACAATGTCGCGGAGTCGTGGAGATGCAGCGTTTTAGGGCTCTGGGGGATTTGGGGGATTTAGGATTCGAGGGTTTGTCGGGAGGAGGGAGGGGGGGTAGGGAGTTCATTGGGGCACAGGGTCTGTGCAATGGCAGAGCATCCATCCACAATCTTACCCGCTGTTCGACGCAGGCGATGCAACTTGTTTTGAGGACTGGTACAGTAGGGCGGCGGTGAGATTTCACAGGCCATGACAAGCCTAGAAGGTTTTTGCTTGGTATGCCACTTTCTGCACCCTAAACTCCAACCACCATAGCCCCAAACCCCGAAGCCGGACGAATTTAGGATCCGAAGATGCCACCACAAGAGTTCCCAGACCTCCGGTATCTTGTGAGAGGCCTCAGCTGCTATGCGCAAGTCATTGACCTTGGCCTTGTTTGCAAAGAGCGCTTCCACTGTCCCTTCCTCGAAGCTGGCGTCAGGGCATATTGGGGTTCGAAGGTGAGGATCCTAAACTTTAAGGCTTAACTTAAGGCTCATTGCCATTACCTCCTATGTATTCGTAGCAATCCAACTCTTATTTGCAGGCTCAGAAGCCCTGAAGTGTCTCTTTCTTTTATGGATGGCTTGCATGAGCTCTACACTAGGAACTGTAGAGAGGCGACGGATTCATAAGCCGCAGCGTGGTGGGTCGAAGACCGGCTTCGAAGTATTCCTGAGACAAGAATCGAACAGAGCGATAGAACATGCCGAGAACCTTGGTGCAATTTTCGAGGATGCCTAATGGCTTCGGATGTAGCGCACTGTAGCGCTTCAGAGGCGAACGTTTATGCTGCAAATTGGAGTCGGCGATCTTTAGCTGGGTGGATTTGAGTGGTTGCTGTTTCGGGGTTAGAGGTTGAGGGTTTGCACGGCGGTGAGATTCGTGAGATGAGAGACTCGGTTCACGACGCTTGAGTTCCGCTGTACCTTACTTTGGACAGTTTTTCGCCTCGTGTACGCAGGATGATGCACTAAGCACGGGCAGTTGGAGGTGAGCGCTTGCATCTAGGTGTTCAGGAAATAAATATTCCGAAGCCTCTCACGACCGGGAGCGGAAGGAAATAAGATGCACCTGACCGATCCGGAGGGGAAGGTGGCCAGGGCCAGCTCGTAGAAACGATGAAGTCCTCTAAACCCCGAACCCTGCACCCCAAACTGGCCCCGAGCACGCTGGGGAAATCAGTCGAAACAGCAGGTGCCGAAGGAGTCCGGGAGTTGTCATCCATCGGAGCGCACTAGAGGGCTCTCTGCAAGCTGAAAGCTTCATAAGCTTACGTGCTGCGTACACCCCGCTCCCGAACCTGGATCCCTGGAGTTGGCACCACAAACCCAAGCCCACGGCCCGAAGTAGCCCGTGGTCCAGTTGATTGGGCCATGGACAAGCGGATCACGCCTAGAAAACCTCGCCCAAGCCCTGAAGAGGTATGCTCCGTGGTACCCACGGCTATATAGCTCCGGAAGTTTGGCAGGGGACTCGTGTCCTGGTCGTAACAGAGGATGATCTTATAATTGCTGTTATTATTTTATTATTATTATTATCATTATTATTGCTATTATTTTCTGTTGAGGTAATCTTTGGGAGCACCTATGCCAAAGGGAACGAGTCCGCGTAGAAACACATTGGGGTCCTCGGCAGCTGTCCTTTTGAGGCCCAAATGTGTCGATACCCTGAAGGCACTTGCAAGGGGTGTGTATCATAGGAGGAGGGTCTTCTTGGAAGCAGAATTTGGCAGGTTCGTGTGGGATATCAGGCACTCCAGGGGCGGAGGGCGTTGCTGTCCAGCCTAGGGTTGAGAAAGTCGGGAAGGCAGGTCGAGTCGGATCAGAGATTCTGGAGGTGTGGAGGAAGGCTCGTTCGCTGCCGCGGAAGTCGCTCATGGGTGTAGAGTTGAATCTTTGTCAGCCTTGGGTAGATGAGCACCTGTCGATCAAGGGAGGGCCCATGCAGACTGTCAGGACCCCACTGAACCTCCATAGTCCATGTCATGTCAAGCAAAAAGCATCTGGCAGCAACACCCTGCCACGTACTGGATTTCATCAGGCTATCCAGAAAAGTTTGGCTGCCGAAAGCTTGAACCACAGAAGCACAGCAGCAGTTTTCGGCACATCCTAGGTTGGAGTTCGCAGAGTTTCGTTACCCTTAGATTTAGCAAGGCCCATGATCTTGCGGGTCAACCCTGAAAGCCACAGCCGAGATGTCGGCATCCCTGCCAACGACGTGTTTTCACTCGGCGCCGCCTGGCTGAGACAGTTCTTACAGCACAAGCTGACGAAGATACTGGTGGCGATAGCCGTGCAAAAGTGTCCTAGTCTTTGTGAAGCCAGTAGTACGTAATTGTGTATTGTTATCTGCCGCAACATTGATCACCATCATCATCAGCAGCATCATCACCATCATCATCGGTATCAGGATGATCCTCACCATTATCAGCATCACCCTCACCATCAGCATCATCAGCGCCACAAGTCTGAGATGGCAACTTAGCTTTCGTCTTTTTGCCGAGTCAGAATCCAGGTTGGTCGGTTGGCTCCTTGAAGATTTTGAGCTGTCAGGCGCTCGAGCCACAAGGTTCAGGGTGGCGTGGTTGCAGCCTTCTTTTTCCACCCAGCTCGAGCCAATGTCTGAGTCAGTGTGGCCCTACATCACCCCCATGGAGGAAGAGACCGTCTCCACAATGCATGCATGCACACGGCATAAGATTCTTAATGCCCTGGCTTATCGAAGCTTTCGCGCGTGCATCAGAAGTTCCAGTCGCCGCCGTCGGCCGTTGAGGATTCGGGTCTCCGGGATGACGGTTGAATGAAACTCCGGGATGGACCATGTGGGAGTTTCCGAAGATAAGGGGCCCGAATATAGCACCCTAAATAGTAGGATTGCTGAAGTGCATGCTTCCTGTGCAGCTCATGCCATATGTACACGTCGTTTTCCTTCTTGCTCGTAGGCCCAAGCACAGAAAGCCTTGAGCACGCTTTTAACATCTTTAAACAGAGCACATGTACCATAGTTGTAGGTGCCACGCCCAACGTAGCACTAACTTCAGTCTTTTGCTTGCGTGTAAAATCTCCGCCTCTGAGTGAGCCATGCCGGGTTCTGGGGAGTATGGGACAAGGGAATTAGCTACTCCACTTGTGTCTACCTCTCAACCTGCTGGTTCGCTCCAGCAGGTTATAAGCCCAACGCTTGGGCAGGGCTATGGCACCACAGCAAATCCATCCCCACCTCCCGGGAGGGATGGTATTCAGACAGGTTCAACGCCAACACTTGTGCATGGCCAAACAGGTGGAATGGGTTTTGAACCTATGGCTACGGGAGGGGCACTTGGAGGCATAGACCAGACTGGGGTTTGCGCAGACTCAGGGGGAATGCCACAGGTGTCGACTGCCACTGTAGGCGGTGATGAGGTACAGATGGTTGTGCCGTTACCCGGCAATGTCGCGCCGGGCGGGAGCCCAGGGCTAGAGGCCAGCACTGGCATGTTAGGTACCGCGAGTGGTGACGCAGAGCCAGGGGGTAGAGTAGTCGCTGGAGCTTCCACGGAGGGGTTTGTGACCCCACGATCGCAACAGGGATTGCCAACCATAGCTGAGATGGTTGAAGGATTCCCTACTTCAGGGCTCCAGCTCATGACGAGGGTTGGGGATTTTTTCCGTGTTGCGCGCACTGAGGTGGTGCAGGTACCCGCAGTGTTGCCAGGCACACACGCCACACCACCACGAACAACAACATCACATACCCGTGATAGTCCGAGCGGTGCATCAGGGCCCATGGCCTTGGCGGCCTTGGGAGATGGGAGTTTGGGTTCTCATACGAGCTCGCCACCACAGTTGGGAGCGCATGGTACGCCAACATCCTTTGCACCGCCTCCCGGAAGGGATGGCCCTTTGTTGAGCGCGGACATGTTGCAGCGCATGCAAGCTTTAGAATCAAGGGCTCCTTTATTATATGCGGGTATGCCCGAGAGGCCCCAATCAAGAACAGATTCATCGTCTTTGCCTCAAGAAGCCATTCAAGCTGAGGTTGCAAGGCAGTTAGCGGGGTTTGATCAGCGAGCGCAGGCTCAGGACCTAGAAATACAGAGGATGCGGAGGCAACTGGAGGAGGCTGCACAAAGGGAACGAGCCCTCAGGGAGCAAGTAAGCAGAGAAACCGTAGTGGCAGGTAGTGCCCCGGTAGTTCCAACAACCCGTGATGAGGTTCCCAGGCCGCCCCTTCAGGATGCACAGGTGCACACTCCGATCGCGTATCAGGTCCATGATGCTGCAGCCCAGGCGGTTGAGGCTTTGCGAGCGCCCGCCCAAACCGCAGCAGCAGCAACTTCAGGGTTATGGTCTAACTTTTGGTCGGGATTGCAAGGTTCCCAAAGGTTACCTAGCAATGCCACACCACCCGGAAGGGTTGGGCAGCCTAGCAGTTCAGGAGCTGATGCACAAGGGGATTCCACCTCTTCTGGCCCAAACCCCCATTCTCGAGCCGAAAACCTGGGTTTGGGCGAGATCAGGGCTTCGGGCTCTGGTTTCCAGTCAGCTGCTGCCGCAAGTGCCCCAATGCCACAGGCATCAGCAGCTCAGGCCAGCACGACTCCAGTAGCAGCCAGTGTGTCGCCGGGCGGAACCCAAGGCCCTCCCACATCAGGTAACACCGTGCTTGATGCTGTATTGTTGGGTGTGCAGCAGCTGCAAACTTTGCAAGCCCAGCACCTTAGCAGTACCAAGAAGGAGGATGCCCCAGAAACAGTGAAAACGGGCATCACAACCTTTCCCAAGCTAGCCCCGCCCGATCCAGCTGGAGGCTCGTTGGAATTCCAGGATTGGTTGCAACTCATTGCAGGCTTGATGAGTGACTTTTCGGATTCTTCTCAACTTTGGTGGTCAGGGGTAGTCCAGGTAAGCAAAGATGCGTACGATAAGTGGGTCGTCGCATCCCCCATCGAGCGCTTGACACTTGAGCCTGACGAGAGGCCAGAGCTTACAGAAGGCAAGTGGGGGAGAGTGAATGCACGTGCATGCGCGATGCTTTTGGATGCCCTAGACCCCATAGTGAAATCTGATATCATTGCCCGCAAGGCGAATCAAGCTGCATCGCAAATCCTGTTTAGGCTGTACACGACCTACCAGCCTGGGGGAATAGGGGAACGCAGCCTGGTGTTGAGCAACTTGCAAAATCCCCACGTGGTACAGGATGCAGCTTCAGGTGTGTCGGCGTTGAGGGCGTGGGGACGGTGGTGTCAAAGGTGCATAGACTTTGGTATGAGTTTGCCGGACCCAATGGTTTTGGTGGGAGGCCTAACCTCAATGACAAAGCCAGTCATCTCTAAGGAACCGGAGGTTTCATGGCGAACCGAGATGGTGAAAAGTGCACTGCAGTTGCACGGTCGACCCTCGGAAGAGGCGGTCAAATCCTACCACAAACGTTTGTTGGCCGAGTTTGAGACTTTGGCTGGAGCTCAGGTTGCCAAAAAGGGTGGATCAGGTCACCTTGCATTGAAGACAGCGGGTGTTGCAGGGGATAAGTCGGGGGAAAAGGGGAGTGGAGCCAAAGGTGGAGGGACTGGCAATACATGCAAGTATTTCCTTTCGCCAAAGGGGTGCAGGTTTGGAACCAAATGCAAAAGCCCCCACTCCATGAACGAGTTGTCAAAAGTGGAACGGTTTAAGAAGTGCTTGAATTGTGGCTCGGTGGAGCATCGTGCTAAGGATTGCAAGGCAGGTAAGGCGGAACCCAAAGCACCAGATCAGAAACCGTCCGTACAGGCAGCTTCCACATCCTCGGGCCAACCCGTTGTCCAAGCCACGCCAGTGCTCAACATGGAAACCTTCATGCAACAGGCAGTCCAGGCTTTGAGGCAGTTGGAGGCCAATCCACCGTGCAGCGGCACCACGCCGCAAGCCCAGCCGCCTCAACCTCAGCCGGAAGGCTTGAGTACTGCGTCGCAGCAGCCCCCAGTGCCACCGGCATCGGCTGCGCCCGCATCGTCTGCACCCAATCCTTCGGTGAAGAGGCTCACCATTCGCTCAGTTATGCCCTCAAGTTGTTTCCCGGTTTCGGGCCCCCCAAACCGGGACTTTCCCATTGAGCCCGCGGTGGAGCCATCACCCGTTGCATCCCAACCACCTCTCATCGGTTACGCCCTTCTCGACTCCGGTGCCTCTCACCCCATGCGGCAAGCATCATCTGAGGAGGAGTGGGAGGCCGCGGAGGAGGTACAAGTGAGTTTAGCCGGCGACCAAAGCACAATCATGCGTTTGACGCGTGCGGGCACTCTCCTACTGCCACCCGGAAGGGACGGCCTCGTGCAGCCAATTGTCCCCATGGGTGCTATCATAGAGCAGTTGGGGTATAAGCTGGTTTGGTCCGCCGGTAGTTGCAAGCTGTATCCTCCTGATGGTAAGTCGTTGAGGCTTAGGGTCAAAAACGGTTGCCCGGAATTGGTTGAGAGCCAGGCCCTCACGTTGATATCACGGTTGGAGGAGCACAAAATGCAACAGGTTGAGGAGCTCAGGCGAAGGACGGATGAGGGGAAGGATCGCATCAGACAAGCGAAAATCGCGATGCAGCGCACATGGTGGGATCATGTGGGATCATTTGGTTGAGCATGTTAGCTCGTCAGCGCCAGCAGCGGGCCACATGGCAGTATCCACGGCGCCATTCTTTCAGGATGTGCCCGATCGTGCATTGTCAGGCCTACTCCCATCGGAAGATGTGGACTCCAAGACTTTGTGGAAAGCTCTTGAAGAAGGTATGCCAAACCTCAACCGGCGAAGGAGGAAGGCACTTCATCGAGCATCCAATTGGGTTGTTCACTTGTTTGCGGGCCCTGGCGCGCACAAGGCTTTCAAACGGTTGGAGTCGCAGGATACAGTTGTTGTTGAGCTTGACATTTGCCGCTCAAGGAGCCAAGATCTCTACCACGATCCGCTTTGGACGCTGCTTGTTAAGGTTGCAAAGTTGGGACGAGTTGCGGCGGTCATTGGTGGTCCACCAACCCGCACGTGGTCTATGACCGGGCACCGCACCGATGGACCACATCCACTTCGCTCGCCCACTGAACCGTTTGGCCTGAGCACTCTCACCTCTGACGAGCGTGATCTCGTTGATCGTGATACGGGTTTGTATGCTCGCATGTTGTGGTTGCATGCACTTTCCACCGCCGGGAGGCGTGTGCACCCAAACCCATCGGATGGAACATCCATGGTGGCATTCATGTCGGAGCAACCGTCGGTTGAACACCAAAT